CATAATGGTAAAAAACAATATATGCAGTGTTATCTTCATTTTAGATGTCAAAAGAGTTTTGTGGCTCCCAGTGTTTTCTTTTCTGTGGCAAATGGGTCCAAATGGCTCTTTGAATGTTAAAGGGTTGCCGATCCCTGCCCTAGACAAAGCAGCAAGAGTCTGTCAGAAAGCAAAAGCTATTCTATAAGGTCTACAAAATATGGAAGGCAAAATGGAAATGGTAAATCAAGTGAAAGATAAGTGAGGGGGAAAAAGAAAACAAACAAAAACAGAGGTTTACACAAAAGCCTTGATTACAGAAACTGGAAGACCAAATTGCCCAAGGATGCTTCAAAAGAGGATATTAAGGCAACATTAGTGACAAAAATTATAAAACAAAATAAGTTGTTATATTTTCTTCTGCTGCCCTATGAGCTTTGCTGAAAGGAATGAATGATGACATTTCTCTTATGAGGAACCCAAAGTGAGTGGAATCTAGAATCCAGATCTTTAACCCCCATGCCACATTGTATGTTATAGGATGGCAGAAGCATATATATTCAGATTTTTCACAGACACAGGAATAGAAACATACTCTGGCTTTGATTCATAAATGCAAAAATGCGATATTTTTATATCTTTTGAGACTGAAGAGACCTCAGTTGGAAAAAAAGATACTAGTTGATATGCCTCCTAGGCTTCAGAAACATCACCCCTAAATACTTAAAGCAAATAATCTGCTTTACGCTATGCCCATTAATACTCCAGACCTTAATATTCGGTTTCTTCTCAAAAAGACTGCTTTTTGGTAGTTAAGCTTCACCTGGTTTTTTTTACAATGAAGAATAAATGCCTGCAAAGTTCTTCTGAGACCCACAGGAGTGCTAGAGAGTAATACCATATCATTGCTATAGAAGAGTACAGGAATCTTTCTATCAGCTCTAGTGAAGAGTATAACAAGGTTGTTTAAACAGCTAATCACATCGTGCTTCAATGCAATACTGTTATTTGTATTTCTATACTGCATTTATTTTTATGTTTTCCTGTAAATCATGGGTCCTCATACTACGGCCCGTGGGCTGGATATGGCCCACCATGGGCATTTACCTGGCTCACCTCAAAACTTTTGGATTCTGAGTCCAAAAGCTCTGAGCTGGCACAGGCATTCTCAGAAACTGAGCAGAGAGCCGGCACACACTAAAAATTGTAACAGCTCAACTGTGCATGTGTCGGACCCCCCCCCCCCCCCGACTCCACTATTGCACACATATACAGAGAGGGAATACAGAGCGGGAAACAGAAGAGAGGAGGGTAGAAGAGTGAGAGAGAGAGAGATGAAGACACTAAAAGAGGATTGAAGGTAAGAAAAAATTAACTTTTTAAATCCATTTTTAATTATTTGAGCCATGTCCCTGGGCTGCAGGCAGAGGCATGGGAGCTGTGGCTTTCTATGGGCAAGTCGCCGCCGTTGAGTGTCTGCCATGCTTCTTCCCCCCACCCTCCATGGCAGGGAGAGGCAGGAGGTGCCCCGCTCAGCCAGCCATGGCCCCATCCCTTGCCTCCCTTCATCTTGGAAAGAAGCCCTTACCTCCCTCCTTGTGGCCCTCTCCTGGCTTCCTCAAAACCAGGGTAGTGGTGAGGACTATAATTTCCATCATGCCCAACCAATATGGCCAATGGAAGCTGTAGTACAACTCATCTGGACAGTACCTGTTTTGGCAAAGTTGCACTTAAAATATGGTCATCATTAGCTCTGGATCCAAATATAGCCATTGTGTATTGTGGGAATTGTTCTGGGCTGACTTGCTTCAAATACTAAGAATGGCATTAATAGTATTTATCCTTAGCATCTTTACTTCTTTCTTAGTAAATGCCAGCTGCAGTCATCAGCTGCATTAGGGCTATATTTAGTGCCTTGGTTGTGTTGTAGTCATGTCCCTTGAATAAGGACATGCTCTTCCCCACCTCATCTTGGGCTTCTGCTGCAGCCCAAGGGAGTGGAGCAAACATTTTTTTTATTTTTTTAATTTATTTTTTAAAATTTTAATTATTTTTAATTATTTTTAATTTTAATTAATTTTAATGTGCAGTGTGCATAGGAATCCATTTTTTTTCAAACTATAGTCCAGCCCCCACAACAGTCTGAGGGACAGTGAACTGACCTCCTGTTTAAAAAGTTTGAGGACTTTGTTAGCAGAATTTTTTTTTGTCTTTTTAACCTTAAAAACATTTTATTTATTTATTTATAACCATATCTCAGCATATCCTTGGTCTCTTTCCTCCCTGTCTACTGGCATATGTTTCTATTTTGCTCCTAGATTCTTAACTTCAGAAGACAGAGCCACTGTGCAGCTTTCTCTGGTGGCTGAAAAGAGCAGGGAATGGTGAACTACAGTGCGATAATCTCTGGTTTGTAACTCTGCTTTCAGTCCCCTAGGGCTAGATTCACTTCATCCTATGGCCCTTGAGATGCTGTCTAGAGTCCATAGAACTGTGCTCTTTGAAAAGCCAATCCCCCACCAAACATTTTTAAATGTCAGTGAGTAGGAAATAAAGATTGTTCCTGGTAAATTAAGTGCTATGGAGTGTTTGGTAGTCTTTGTGATTGCAAGGCAGACTAGCTAAACAAAATTTTGCATCAACTATACTCTTTGAAAGCAAGCTTAGAAAAGTAAGTGCTGCCTCAAAGGAATGAAAAATAATCAAGAGCTACAAACATTAGTTGTTAACTAATTAACTGTAAACACAAAAAAGTTCACATGGATCCTTAAGGACTAAAGTTGCAATCTTAGTAACATTTACTTAGGAAAAAACATTGATAGCATACAGTACAGGATCATTCTTTAACACATATATTGTAGTATACATTTTTGTGGACCAGAATCCTCCTTCAGTAGATGCATAAAGTGCTATCTTCAGCTGGTTTATTTATATCTTGATGTAAAAGGTATGTGTGTGTGCAGAGAATGAGAAGAAAGAACGAGAGAGAGAGAGAGAGAGAGAGAGAGAGAGAGAGAGGCCAAAATGCCATGAAATGCAAAAGGTTGTCACAGACTGCATTTTACATTTCATAGCACATTATTGATTAATCAAATTCCTGCATAATTATCACCATGAAGGCATGTCCACTCCACTAAGCAAATGCAATGACGTCCATCTTTTCTTTTAATGTACCTGCTTGAAAGAAAATGTATTTTTCCTTTACAAGTACTCAACTTCAATATGCACTTTGTTACACATATTTAATTACCTTCATATTAGGCCATTAATCTACCTAAGGGGAGGTAGGGACTCACCTTTCAATTTGTTTTAAGCTGTACAACCTGGAATCCCTGTTTGACTTTCTGCTCTTGTTCCTGAATGACATCCCAGTGTAAGTCTGGCAATGTCACACCAACCATAGAATCCATCAGAAGCATGGAGCAGACCTATGAGTGGAGAGGGTTTGCAATGAAATCCAGAGATTTTCACTTCTTGTAGTAATTTGTCATCTTTTTGGAAAACAGTTTGATTTCATATTTAAGTAGGTAGTAATTAATAATATTTTCCCCAGAGGTATGCTCCATGTTTCAGGATGATTCTGTGATGGATGATCTGATAAAATTAACAAAATGCACAAATGGAGGGGATCTTTCCTCCTTACTAAGTACGTCAGGGTGATGATTAGAAGATCCTCCCCATTCCCAGATGCTGCCCAAATCAAGGTGTTTATCTGAGGGAATGAAGAAATTAGTCCTGTACATCTGTAGGGCAACAGGTAAGGGAAGGCAGCCCTATACTTTTCAGTCTGGTTTGACATGAGGACTGACTGTGCAATCCTGTACCCCACTACTTGAAAGCAAGTCCCATTGAGTTCAATGGACTTACTTCCAAATAAGTGAGCTTACGAATGCCTCCTAAATTCAAGGTTTTGGCATGTGTCTTTATATTTCTACATTAGCTTAACGTGTATTTTAACTTGCACCCCAGCTTGAAGATTACAGATAGAGCAGGATACATACATACTAGGTGCGTCCAGAAAGAAATGAGAATGAAGTCCCTACACTAGAAAAGGGGTCTGTGAAGGGAGAAGCTGGCCAAGGTCACTTGGGGTGGGGGTTAGAACACTGATCAGTTACATTCCAGTCCTGTCAGAGTTGAGACATTCTCTTTTGTGACACCCTGTTCAAGTGCCTCATATTAAGAATAATGCAAGTGAGCTTGGAACAACGGTATGTGATAAATCACATGAAATTGGGTAAAAGAGCATCAAAAACTTTGGAAATGGTGAGGAAAGCTTATGGAGAAGCTGCACTTTCATCTGCACAAGTGTACTGATGGCACAAGTTGAGACTGGCTCAACTTGGATCCGTCATCACCACAAAGCACCGAGTCACAGTGCTCTGGCTGTCAGAGAGTTTTTGGCTGAAAAATACATCACAGTGCTTCCCCATCCACCCGACATCCCCAGCTTGGCTCCTTGCAACTTTTTCATCTTCCCAAAGGTGAAGAATGGTTTGAAAGGACACCATTTTGGTAGTGTGGATAATGTCCAAAGACCAATTACGCAGCCTCTGAACACCATCCCACTTGAAGTCTTCCAGGGATGCTATGAAGAATGGAAAAATCTCTGGGAGTGCTGTGTACACTCACAAGGTGCATACTTTGAAGAAAACAGTGTTCAATTGTAAACATTTTTCAATAAAAGAATTTTTAAAATATAATTCCCATTAGTTATATACGAGGACACGCCTCGTATATATGTATGTGTCTGTCTGTCTTATTTTGATTTATTATTTTATCTTTCCTTAGTAACCAGAACAAATTATAAATTAACAGTGGTAACTTTTCCAAGAATAATAATCATGAAACATTGCATAATGTCATAACAATCATGAATTTTTGCAAAATAATGTCATTAAACATTGGAGAATGATTTCCCTTCATTCTCCTATTTGTCTTGTTAAAGCGGGCAGTTAATTCAAGTTTGGCAATAGCAAAAATCTTTATGAATTGAAGACCCCTGACCTAAATATGCTTACCATGGAGAGCCAGGTACAGGCGTAGAAGCAACTGGTTTGTTGTCATTTGAAGCACTACTGTCCTCTTGGAGTAGCTGTAAGGAATGTTTTTTCATATGGAAACATACACAGATGAATCAACAAAAGACATCATTCCACTATGTGATTAGTTAAAATTTCTGTAACTAATCAAATTAACCATTTTCTTTTTGTCAGTAATATTTAGTCACATAAATCAATAAAAATGAATGAAAATTAGGAAGCGATGATACCAACATAAAAATGTATTGTGGAGAGTGTGTTGGCCCACATGCATCAGTTGTCCATTCCACTGAGGGCTGCCGTTTCACTCACTCCTGGCATGCAGCACCTGACATAATATTCAAACACACAATGTATAGTCTTATATTCTACAGTTCCATGAATTCTGTACCATGCAATTTATCTGATGGGGGGGGGGGTGTCCTGGCTCTTATATATGACCAAAGAATCAACATAGAGCAATGGCCAGTGAACTTTACACTAAGCAATATGACGGCATTCCAGTGGGAATTTTATGCAACAAGCCCTTGTTCTCTGCTTGAGAGCCACTGATCAGATTAAGATAATGGGAAACAAACCTTCTCATCCTCATTCTCTGTTGGCTTATCATTCATTTCAGTATGTAAAATCAGGGTTGGTGGGCAGGAGGCTCTGTTTGATTCTTTGCCTTTATCTGTATTTGGATAAGAAAGTACAAAGATTAGTAGTCTATATCCCACTAAGCCTTCAAATACTTTCTATTTTTTCAGGATGTTATACTTCATAATTAAAAGACTGAAGTTTTGTTAAACACCTGTATCAAATGACATTTTCCCCTCAAATGAATAAATGTAATGTAATTATAAAATGTGACCTAAAACTTCCTGGACAAAGTATTGGAAACAAGATCTGGCCATCATAATATAAGCCATGGGTCATTAGCTACTTATTCTTATTCTTAAGATTAAAAATGTACAGTCCAGGTGAATTAACAGCATTCTTACACTGAAAAATGTTGGCTTTAGAAAGATATCCTTGAAAGTTCGCACAGTGTTTGAATCATACATTAACATATGATCAAAGCAGAGACATTTAGGATGGAATTTCCATTAAGGTAGATCAGCAGTACAGTATCTCTAGTAGAAATGCTGATGCAATAAGCTGGACACTGATAGATTCTAATGATCAGACCAGACATAGCTTTAAGCTGATGATTTAAAAACGCATGCTTAGACTGACCATGATTTTTATTTACCAAAAAAGATGCCATGAGCATACAAGAAACAGAGACAAAATTCCACTTGCAATCTTAAGTGGTATATTCCCAGCAGGAATGGCCCATATAATTATTCTGAATGTGCTGCTAAGCCTTGACAGCCTATCCAGCTTGCAGACTTTGCTATAATATCAGGGGGAGAAATCAGATATAATTTGCTGGGTATTACTAGGGTAAGCCTACAAATTTTATTTTACCTTGGTAAGCAGCCCAAACTTATGCTCACCAATAACGCTGACCTTTCTGCAGTGGGGAACAATAAGGTTTTGTTTGTGGTGTGGGTTATATATGGAGGTGTGCAAATGAATGTCTGTGCGTGGATTTATGAATAGCCCATGACCCCAGCAAATGCCCAGTGTAGGCCTCAGCTTATGCATGCCTATAGCGATGCATTAAAATTACTGCATTGTTGGATGGGGTATGCTCAGATTATTTTGGTGCAGTGGGAATAAACTACTGAGCATGGTTGCTAGTTATTGATAGGACTTTCTCTTCATTAACCCTCTGGTAACACTAAATGAAGAATTGGTTCATTTTGAACTGAATGCCTCTAGATCCTTCATAAAAATCTTTTAAATTTATTGTATACACTGGCAAAGTACCATACAGGATGTCATCAGAAATCTTCAAAATAAGTATTTAAACAGCAATGGACTGCAAGACACTGATCCTTACAAAGGTACTCAGTAAGTGCAGCAATCAATGAATCCATTGAGTATTTCCATTAATTTACTATGTGGAAGTCCTTCAAACTTCTCATCAAGTTCTAATTGATAAGATATGCCTATATTCTTTTCTAACTACATACACACCTCATATGTAGGGCATTATCTTGTGTGGCTAACTGTAACCCTCTGAACTCAGAAGATTATAGATATCCAATGGAAAGTAGACACAACATGGAGGTAATGCTCACCCCAGCACTCCTCCCACTCTCCAATGGCTGCCTAAATGTTGTTGTTGATGATGATGATTAAACTTATATTCCTCTATACTGGGCCCTCTAACAATAATTAACACACAACAATAAACAAAAGAACAATAGAACAAAATAGTACATAGCTGAGGGAAAATAATTAAAAACAGTGTAGATTAAGCAGCAGTATCACTAAAATTATCAAAATAAACTCAATTATAAAAATGTCTAGAAAATAAAGTTGTTTTTGCCTGGTGCCAAAAAGTTTGTAACAAGGGTGCCAGGTGAACTGCTGTCAGGTGGTTGTTCCATAGGTGTGGTGCAACTACTGAGAAGGTTCCTCCTTCTATGAGTCATCTTTCCTACCTCCCTGGAGGATGGCTTGTTCAAAAGTGCTTCCCAAACTGATCTTAAGGGCTGAGTACGTACAGTACATAGGGAAGCAAGTGGCCCTTCAGGTCCCAACCCATTTGAATGTTCTGTACCTAATTGCATGGAGGACAGGCATTACAGTATATCCTGGCAGAGCTTTACCACTCTCCTCCACTCTGCCGAAGCACCAGCACTAAGGTCATAGTTCTTGTAAAGAACTATGTTGACTGTGAGGGTGGAGGTAGGGTGTTCTGTGATAAGAGCTGGAACTCTTTCCTGTGGCAAGAGTTTCCTGATAGCATCTAGTGTCCATAGAATTGTGCCCTTATATACCCAGTCTTGCATTACATTCTGAGCAACTTCTTAAGCTCCTTCTTTTTCCTAAAAGTCCATTCATTATATTCTATAGATTAATCAGTGAGGTTCTTCATTTTGCTAGAGATCTTACTGAATCATGATGTGTATTATTTTCTTTTTCTTGTTGGTGCATGTATTAAATTTTATTTCAAGATAAAATCAAATTCCATGTGGGTGAGAAAAACAACAAAAATTCAGATATATATATTTTATTAAGCTATTCTCCCACCAAATACACATTTCTTAAAGTGCTTTCTCTAATGGAAAGTTTTCCTACCATGTACATTTTAAAATTATCTTAGTATGCTTTTGGAGCCAAAAAGTATCTCAGAGAAGTGATAAATCAAAGAATACTTACATTGTACATTGGAATACGTAAACAAAAAAGTGAGTCAAAAATTATCCACACTCCGGTTATTAAAACCTCTGTTGGACACACTGTCTTACCAGTGCTTTCCATTCAAGGCTACAGTCTCCCCAGTCAATGCTGAGTAGGTTTGAATGTGTTTAATCAGTTCATCTATAACTGCAGTGCAAGGAAAATGGATGCCCCACTAGAGTTTTCACAAAAAAAGAACAGTATGCAGTGATTCTTTTTGTGGTCTGAAGGTATACATAGAAACAGAGTGAGTCAAGAAAGGGTCTCCCAGGTCATCTAGTCTGACCCCCGGCTTCAGCCGGCTCTACTCACAACATGCCCACCATGGAGATGTCTAGGCTATCCTTGAACACCCTCACTGATGGGGCCTCAACCACCTCCTGTCGAAGCCCATTCCATACCCTTGGGGTCCTAAATGTCAGGAAGTATTTCCTGGCATCCAGATTGAACTATGGTTGCTTGAGCTTCACTCTGTTGGAGCGCGTCCTGTCCTCTTCTGCAGGGGAGCACAGGTCTCTACCCACCTCCATGTGACATCCCCTCACATACCTGTATGTCACCAACAGATCCCCTCTGAGTCTCCTCTTCTCCAGACTGAAGAAACCCAGTTACCTAAGTCTCGCCTTATATGGCTTCCCCTACAAACCGGCCACCAACCTTGTGGCCCCATGCTGCACTGACTCTAACCTGGCTATATCCTTCTTGTAACAAGGGGCCCAAAACTGAACACAATACTACAGTTGCAGGCGCACCAGGGTGGTGTAGAGTGGCAGTAATACCTCTCTCAATCTAGAAGCCACACTTCTGGCTATGCAACCAAGGGTGGTGTTCACCCTCTTAACCACCGCATCACACTGCTGACTCATCTTTATCCTGCAGTCAACTAGTACCCCAAGATCCCTTTTGCAAGTGCTGCTCTCCAGCTACTTGTCCCCTAACCTGTACTTACCCATTCCTATGCTCCAAGTGCAAGACCTTGCACTTATCCACATTGAACGCCATCCTGTTGTCTCCTGCCCACTTCTGGATCTGGAGTACCTGCTCTTCAGTTGTGGCCACTGCTCCAGTTTTAGTATCATCTGCAGACCTAATCAGCAGACTGCCCACCTCCTCTTCCAGGTCATTGATGACAAGATTGAACAGGAACAGACCCGGGACAGAGCCCTGGGAGACCTCACACATCATCAACTGCCATCCTGATGATTCTGGTCTGGTCTGCCATCCTGATGATTCTGGTCTGTAATTCCTCATGTCTCTTCTACTACCCTTTTTGAAAATTGGGACCTCTGATGCCACCCTCCAGTCCTCTGGAACTTCACCTGTTCTCCATGAGGCCTCAAAAATGGAGGCCAGAGGGCGTGAGAGAACCCCTGCCAACTCTCGAAGTACTCTTGTGTGCAACCCGTCAGGGTCTGGCATCTTTGTAACATCCAGTGCTCTGAGGAGCACCTCGACTTCTAGGGGGTGACTCTAATCTGTGCCTCTAAGTTCCTGGCATCAATATAGTATAATTAGTATATATTATAGTAGATTTTTGACCTATGTTGTTCCCCCCACCTATTTTATTTTTTTTAAACAGAAAAAAACATGAATACAACATATAATATTATAACATAACAAAAACACAATAATTAAAGAGTAAATAATATAGTGCCCCCACCATCCCAGAGACCAAGACAACTACCACTTAATTCACATATTATAACAATGATATATAATATACTTCAATTATATCCATATCCCCTCCCAGAATTCATATAATCTTGCTTAGGTTTACCGCCTTTGCCTTCTAGCAGTACTGTTTTTACAAAATCATCCCAAATTTAATAACAATTATCTGCTTCCATTAACCCTTTTTAAATTTTTATTTCTGTCATCAGTTTATCATTTATTACCAGATTACATACCAGAATTATACCATTCATGCCTTTGCTAAACCCAATTCTGTTTCCAATATTTAACTGTCACTAGCATAACTGCATTTATCAAACTTGCAATCAATTTTCTTAGCTTCATTTATATCTTGTTTTTCATTCAACAGTAATAACACAATTCTTGGTGACATTTCTAACTCTATATCTAAAATTTCTCTAATTTCCTTAAATACCATAATCCAGATATTTTGTATATTATCACATTCCCAACACATATGTTCCAATCTCTTTACCACATCTCCAACATATATTAGAGTATTTGTCATCAATTTGATTTAACTTAACTGGTGTTAAATACCATCCTCATATCATCTTGGATCCATGCTCTTTAAAACTGACATATTCTTATATACTCTTCTATTTCAAAAAATCTTCCAGTCTTTGTCTTTTATTTCGCCTACATCCATTTCCCATATTGATTTAAGGCTTTTTGTCTGATCCCCTAACTCCATTAATATCC